CCAAGTTATTTAATATATTCTTTATATAACTGTGATTATAAACGGTTCTTTTTAATATAAGATTTTTGAGGATAGGTGTGATAGTGACTATAGATAGATTGTGACTATATAGGATAGATTTTAATAATAAAGTGTTTTGAACATTCAACTGGTGTGACTATATAGTAGAATGTGACTATAACGGGAGTGACTATAGAGGGAGTTGACTGTATAGGTTTTTGTCCTGCCCATACCCTTATTATATCACAATTAATTTTAGAATCATCTGACATTTATTAAATTTTTATAACAAAAGAAGTGGCTGCAAGATTATGGGTTAAATACCACTATCAAAGGATTAAAATTATTTGATACAAATTTTGATTCATTTTTACCAATTGATCATCCTTTTTACTTATTAATTCATCATTTGGTCCCAAGAGACCTAATAGATATTTTTTACAATTATTTACCAAAAAAGAAGAAATGATTTGAAATATTTATAAAATTTGTGAATATAATCATGGATAAAATTGATACAAACATTTGGAATCGCCATAACAATGCTGTCAAAGAATGGGAATGCAACTTTAACATTACCAAAAAGAAAAAGAAATTTTACAGGAAGCATAACAAGTTGAGCAATAACCACACAACCTCAAACAAGAAAGAAAATCAAAGAACTAATCACAATCATGATAATTTTAATCAAAATAATTCCACTCCCTATAACCGTAGAGGTGGTTTTTATGATAATGATGCTCATATTAGATGGACATAAAGATGTTAGCCTTAATTATTTTTTGAAAAATTTTGAATTACAGCTATAAGATTTTTATAGCCTTAATTAATTATGGCATATAAAAATTTTGTGTTATAGCACTTTTTTGAATTATGGCTAACATCTTTAGATGGACATCAAATAATTTCTTACATTCAGGTTCTTAGAAATTGAATTTGGTTCGATAATATAGATTTATTTGAAAATTTTTATTATAATATTTTAGGATATAATTTAGGTACTAGATAGTATTTTTATGTTCATTTTTGTTACTTTTTTTATTCTTTCCAGGTTGGCGGGTGAGTTCTGGAATTGGCCTCGAGTCTGTCCTGTTTCTCATCCAAGGTCAGGAGTCATCATCTGCTCTTTTTCACCAGTACAGCTTCAATAATGATTTCCCGGTCTTCAGGAAATTTAGAAATCTTGATAAGCACATGGAAAACTTCAGTAGTTGATTTTTCTCATCGAATATCTTTGCCTGCTTCATAGCTTCATCTTAATTAGGGTCAACCTCTAACGTATTGTTCTTTCTTGCGTCATTGGGGTGAGCGGTCAACTATGTAAATCAAAATTATATATGGTATCATATAATAATTTACTATTAATTCCGTTATATTTTCCTAATACAATTTTATAAATACAATAACAGATAATGCTATAACTATAAGTAATAATAATCACTATTTTATTTATTGCCTATGATACAATTAAAAAGGATTGATGCAATAACTTTCCTAATTAATTGACTTGTTATTTCCTTGATAGTATTATTATGGTCATTTTTTAGACTCTTTTGGGCTGCTTTTCGAGCTTGATACTTTCGTTTATATGATTTGTAAATACCCATGCTAAATTTAGATGTCTAGCCTTAATTCTAACTCGTTTTTACGAACAAAGACATTTTAAAGTTAATTTTAATTCCAGAATAACACGTTTTGAAAGAAAGTTAAAGAAAAAGATTGTGTGTAAAATTTGGTTAAAATCATTGTATAATAATAAAATACTGTATAATGAATAAATAGATTAATTTTCGAAATGATTTTCATTCAAATGATGCATACCATAATACAATGATCCGCAGTAACAGATTTATTATCTAAATTAGGGATGATTATGCTATTTTTAGGACGATCATTAATCCGACTAAGAATCTTGGAATTTTCTCAAATTTAGTATATATACGAGGAAACCAACTCTTCCAAAAATTAAGATCAAGTTAAACTAATAATATCAAAAAAAAAAAAAAATCCTACAAACAAACATTTTTAAAACAAATTACACTATTACACTTTATTTTTCTAACAATGTTATCCACAATTATCTCTTCGTTTCAAAGTTCTGATATTTTTTCTATTTCGTTAACTTTCATAGTTATTTATATAGTCCGATATTATTACAAATTTTTCACTCGTCTAAATCCTTTACCTGGTCCATTCCCACTTCCATTACTTGGTAATGGTCATCAAATAGTTGGAACTGACTTTAATAAATGGTTATTGTCAATGTATAAAAAATATGGTGACATGTACGAAATAAATTTGGCTGGATCACGTACAATCATATTAAATAGTACAGATTTAATTGAAAGCATGAATGTACCTTCAACAAAAACCAAATATCCTTTTAGATTTCAACCTACAGAAGGTTCTAAAGAATATGGATTAGGTGGAGTAGGAGTTGCTAATAATAATGAACTTAAATCCTGGAAATTTAATCGTCAATTTTTTTCTCAAGCTATGATGACTCCAAGTTTTAATCATCAAGCTATTGAATGGACGATCGAATTATGGGAACAAATGGAATCTCATTGGAATAGTCTCGGAGAAAATCATGAATTAGACCTTAGTAAATGGATGCATAGATTTACAAATGATATGATCTTTAGAGTTTCAACTGGGGTAAAAAATGATGCTGTTACTTCTTACTATCATACTCTTCTTGAAGATAATAATCAATCTTTAAGTGAAAAAGAAAAAGAANGCATAGATTTACAAATGATATGATCTTTAGAGTTTCAACTGGGGTAAAAAATGATGCTGTTACTTCTTACTATCATACACTTATTCTTGAAGATAATAACCAATCTTTAAGTGAAAAAGAAAAAGAAAAAGATAGAGAATCAGAACGTTTTATTCAATCAATTCAAATCTTTATCAGGGGATTTATGCCATTCTTTGCTTTAAGTAAATATATTCGTCGTTATGTTCCATTCGTTCGTGGAAAAATGAATAAATTAATAGAAAATAGAGATTATTTGATAAATAGTTTATATAAAGTTATTAAGCAAAGAAGAATTGAAATTGAGAATACACCGTTAGACCAACCTCTTCGACACGATATGTTGACATCATTTATAACCGCAAATACTCCACGTGATATCAATGTTGAAAAACATGTCGATGCTGATTTGTTGAGACCAATGACCGATAAAGAGATTTGCGGAAATTTACTCGATGCTATGATTGCAGGAACTGATACTGTTAGTAAACTTTTTTTTTTCTTCAAAGATATTCAATTTTCATAAATTTCATTTCTAATTTAAAAATCCTTTTAAAATTACAGACGGCGAATATGCTTAGCTTTGTCATATATTTACTTGAAAAAAATCCTGAAGTGAAACAAAAATTACGACAAGAATTTGATTCAGTTCTCGGAAACGACTTAACTAAACCTATGACACTTAAAAATATTGAAGAATTAAAATATTGCGATGCAGTTATCAAAGAAGTATTTCGCCATATTCCTGTAGCATTTTTGTTAGGTCGTTTAAGTGTTGAAAATGATAAGGTTGGAGGATATAATTGGCCAAAAGGAACTCAATTTCAAATACACACATCTGCACTAATGATGCGTGATGATTATTGGACTGATCCCGAAAAATTTGATCCTGACAGATTTTACAAAGTTGAAGAAAGCGATAAATATTTACTTGAAAAACAACATGCTAAAAATTCTTTTATGATGTGGGGAGGTGGAATTAGAATTTGTCCGGGAAGAAAATTAGCAATCACTGAATTAAAATGTTTAATACCTTTGATTTACAGGAAGTATGATATTGAATTGAGATCACCTCTTGAATACAAATCTGAAATTCTTACATATTGTGAAAAATTATTAGTTAAAGTTAAGCCAAGAAAGTTTTAAACAAAGTAGAAATTTTCAATTATTATTAATTTTTACATATAGAGAAGCATAATTTTATATTATTTAATTATCAATGCATGAATCAGTATAGAATATAGAAGTTTTTTTCTTTTAATTCTCTGTAAACTTGTCATTCAATTATCATTCATAAATTCATTGCATTACTAAACAAATAAAAAATAACATATAATCTTGGTACATATTTTTAATTATAAAATGTATAATGCGTCAAAAAATTATTTTTATTGTTTAACGTTAAGTACGAATTATGACTAAATATATAGTTTTAGAACCTTGTGTAAAAAGGCAATCATAATGCAAATTGTATATTAGAAAGGGTGTATATTTAAATACTGAAAAATTAAGGAAACGAAGTCCATTTTTTATTATTGTTCATCATTTTATAGTAAATATATAGAACTTTGGTTCTAAATGACGTAAACTTTGCATTTTTGTAGACCAGGTTAAATTCAGTGTCGATATGCGTTAACTTTAAAGTTTTATTGTAAAAAAAAATCACTTTTTTAGAGCTATTTTTCACATAAATCGTATTTAAAGATTTTTTTTTATTTTTTTTATAATTATAGTTTTGAATCAAATATTTGATGTGATATTTTTAATTTTATGTTCTTTATGTTTCTAACATAATTATTCCCAATAATTATTGCACGATGGTACTTACAGATCCAGCCGGACACAATAATATATTAATATATTAATCTTTACCTTAACTGTTAAGATTTCTCATAGCTTATTATTTCGCATAATTTTTTTATTTTTGTCCGAAGCGGAGGACTTTTACATTCTACGCTATGAAGGATGTTTGTCTGACCCACACGTGACTTATATACACGTGACCATATATATACTTTATTTTAAGTTTATACTATTAGCTTAAACTTTAGTTTAACCTTCATAAGATGTATATAATAAATTTAAGATTCGTTAATAAACGAAAAAACATAATAAATGAAAAAATATAACTTATATCTAATTTATTTTCGTTATTAAAATCTTAACGCAAAATTGTTGGCAATTTCCAGGGTCCGTGCTCTTAATGATGTACTTTTTAAGCCATTTTCGTTTGAAAGATTTCAACGCATTAAAAAATGTAAGAGGTTACAAGAGAGATTGTATGAAGAAAAGCGATTAATTTCAATGATTAAATCTTAACGAAATTTAATTTATTATTACAAATAGCCTAAAATTACATATTATTTAATTTCGGTATTTAATTTACTTTAACAATTGAGTTTGACAATATATAAATCGTTTGTAAAAGATAACACTAATAAGATTTCACTTGGAAAAACGTGCAGCGTGACGCCCGCTTCGGACGTTTAACGGTCACCGTTACCTAGTTATAATTCACTTGAATCTTTGTTATTAAATTTATCTCGTTCAATAATAAAAGGATTTTATGTTATAATTTATAATTATAAGTTTATTAAATACATTTTTAGAAATGATCGACATCACAAATCACGTGAATGTGACATTTTTCTGCGGTGATACTGGGGAAGAATATTTACACATAAGATAAGCAATTTATTTTAATACAATTATTAATTAAATAAAATAAAAGATATAAAAATTAAATTCAAACATTTTCCACTTTTATTTCTCTTTTCGTAAGTCGTTCCTTTTAACAACATTTTGAATATCATTCGCCATTATCCTCTTTTTCTTGTCAAATTTTACTAAAATAACAAGGCTAACGAAACATCAAAATGTGCGAAGTAACCTTAGCAGTTTCAATGTGTAGATGTTCGAATGTCTTGAGATGTTAATAACAAAAAACTGAATACAGAAAAAAAAAAATAATAGTAGTTTCGTCATATGTAGAACTTGCACATAAAATATTACAAATATGATATCTACAACAGAAATATATATTTTTGTTCTCAAAGGAAAGTTCTACAAAATGGTAATGGAAAACGAGGAGGGTAGTAGTAAAAAAAATATAAATGATGGTATGTGTGTAATATCGTTCATCTCCTCGCAATGTTTTTTGAAAGTGATTGAGAACAATAATCGAAAGCAGGAGACACCGTGAGAGAACAATCAAAATATAATTATTCGACTACAATATCAACTATTAGCTATGCCTTGTAACTCTTAGGAATCCTTGAAGCGTTTCTTCGAAATTATGGAGAATGGGAAAGCAATTAATAATTCGATCAATCAAATCAATCAACTATTTGATATTAGAGTTTTTTAGTAAGAATACAGAAAATATATTGATCCTTGATATTATTGTATCATAATAGTTTATTATAGGTTATGCCTTACGGTGTCCGGTCTGATGATCCTTCTAAGTCCAGTCACGTCAATTTTTAGCACAGTCATGTGAATTTGGGTCCGGATCATTAGACCACACGGTCCAGTGATTCGCTTAAAATTACTTGGGTCCGATTGATTGATTATAAAGCTTGATCTACACGATTTTTTTTTTTTGCTGTTTCGCTTTATAATGAGTTATTACAAAAAATTTTTTTTTTTTACTATTAAATATTTAATGAGATAATGGTTGTAGTAGATGATAGATAGAGTATATATAAATTTCTAAGAACCTTTTATTTCAATAAATTAAGATGCAATTAATTTTTGTTACAAGTTTTTAAACATTTTATTATATAAAAAATGTTTATTTAAATCTACAATTAATAAAAAGATAAAATGTAGATCGGTCATGTAGAATTAGTTCGGTCCGATTGATCAAAATCACAGGACTTAGCACAGTTAACTCAGTCCGATGGTAGCGAAGTCTGATCAAAGTTTAAATTCGGTCTGCATCAAAATTCATATGACTGTGCTAAAAATTGATATGACTGGACTCAGAAAGATCATCGGACCGGACTCAGTAAAGATATACTCGTTTATTATCTAACCGTATGATACCGCCTTGAGAAGGAGTAACATATGCCCTTTGGGCTGTCTATGGCTGATTTTTTTTTCTTACACTATCTAGACTAGTTCTGTTGATATAATATATATCTATAAGAAATTCCTGTATGACCGTACCTTTACATTATCCTGTATAAATTGTCCAAATTACGATTCTCCGTTGCACTCATGTGAATTATATATCCGTTTTGGTATTATCTACCAAAACATTTACTTTCTGCATCTTGCTTGCAACAGGTTACCGACTAGTAATATATTTGTTAAAATAATCAATATTTTTTTTATATAATATTAATTAATTAAATAGTCATCATTTTTTTTACAAAAAATTATCAATAAAATGATTTTTGTGTTATAATAAATTTCTTGATATAATGGTAAAATTAATAATAATTTAATTCCAAAATATAAAAAAGATATAATGTATAATTATAGTATATTTTTTATTACAATCTCATTTAATAATAATAACATTATTAATTAAAAATTTATTTAAAAGTTATTATTAAAAATTAATTATTATTTAAAATGAGAAAAAGTATCATTAAAAATTCTTTATTGAATAAAAAAAATCAAACTACTATTTTTTTTAAAAAAAAAATCCATTTTTGGAAAGATTGGTATATCTTTTTTTTAATAAACAATTTTCGAGAATAATTATGATCTCTAAATAATTTAAAAAGACAGTCAAAATCTCTTTGAACTCTATTTCAATTTTTGTAAATATGACCAGCTGTTGGATTGTATTATACATTTAACAATGTTAAATCACTTAAACGTATTATGACCTTAAGGAACAATAAATTTTTTTGTGTTTCTTATCAATAAAATTTGGATTACGTATTTTTTTAAATTTATATCTTTTTTGGTTTAGTTAAATTGAGTAATATACCGATAAAAAATTTTATAATTATGGTCTGCGTTACTGCGTATGAACCTGTGATCAGAACTTCAGAACTGTAGATCATTTTCGTATTCTATTTCATAATTCATACTATTGAATTCTTTTAAAAAGTGTTATTTTATGAATTTTTCATTAAAATGAATTTTTGAGTATGAACTTAATAAAACATCAAATAAGTATAGATAGAATTAAAAAGGATGATTTAAAAAATATGGAAAGTATCAATAATTGATATTGCTTCATCATGATTCGAATTGTAACATAATTACATAATACCTTTTTTTACGCCCTATTATTGAGCATGGATTGTATGGATTGTGCGACAATACCGGAAATTACCATTTATAAAGTGATACACTAATAATACCTCTTTATTTCTCCCTTCGCTTACAATATGTCATATTCAAAAATATTTTCAGATTTACCTGAATTTACATATGAAGTTATAAAAAATTTTAAGAATGATTTTTCAACTTTGCATTCGTGTATATTAGTTAATAGATTATGGTGTCGTTTAACGATTCGAATTTATTTACATAATTTAAATGATGATTTAAAAGCACAATTAAATGAATATAAAATTGATGATAAATTATTTCCTTCAAATACACTTTTTAATTATCCCATTTTTTTAAAATATTTTTATACAGAGAAAATTATTTCTTCTATTGAAAAATGGTCTAAAGATATTGAACTCGAAAATAGACTAATATTTGAATTTAAGAGATTAATTTACATGTCATTATTTAAAATATTTATTGAAAATGAAGTAAATATACATACTTTTGATATTGAGGTCAATTCTTCATATGAAGATGACATGCTTGAATTAATTTTACAAAACCCAAATTTCCTTCATAATATTAGAAATTTAAAATTCAATTGTGATGATGACTTATTTAGCCATACTAAAAATCTTACATATCAAATGATTAATTTATGTCAAAATCTTAAAAAAATTTCATTAGCTTTTAATAATAGTTTTCTTATATATCAAACATCATTGTTATCAAAAGATTATAATCATTTATCAAATACTTTAAATACAATCGTCTTATATTTAATCAATTTTAAAATTATAACTAATTTAGACAACATATTTGAACAATTAAATGGTTTAGAATCTGTTCATATCATTTATTGTGATTTAGGTACTGGTTTTATTCAATCAATAATTAACTTAACCAAACCATTTAAGTTAAAATCTTTATTCTTATATAGAAATGAATTAAAAATTATTGAATCATTACAATTATTATTACAAAAATATGGTGATTATTTAGAAAATTTTGCATGTAGCTTTGGTTCTAATTTGTTATCTGAGGAGCAACAATTACTTGAATTTATTATAAAATATTGTAAAAATATTAAATTTCTTGATTTAGCTGTATTGAATAATACTCAGATTATTTATTCGTTATTAAATTTAACTGAGAATGTAAAACAGAATCTTAGTCATCTTTCTATCAATATCTTTGCCAATTCTGTTTTTTCAGATACTATTGATGTTAATTCAATTACATTACAAAATTTAGGTCAATTACTTCCTCTTAAATTAGAATATTTAAGTTTAACTCTGTTTAGTATTGAATGGAAAAATGATTTTAAAATGTTCTTAAAAAATTCTCAGAATACTTTTATTAAAAAATTGTTAATCAGATGTAGAAGTCGTGATACTCATGATTTTATTTTATCCTATATAAAAGAATATATTATGAAAAAGAAAAGAATCAAATATTTGGCTATTTCCATTTGTGATACTGATTTTTTTTCACTTAAAGATGAATTTGATGAATTGAAGGAATTTGAGTTATATAATATTAAAATTCAAAAATATAAAGAATTTAGATTCAAATTCATAGAAGAATTATTAGATTTTAATATTATATAAAATTAACATTTGGATAGGTTATAATAGTTATGTTTTCATTTGCAAGCAATAATAAACGTGATATATACTTATTTTTATATGATAAACTTTGATGATTTTTTACATCTTATTTTTAAATTATATTGATCTCATAGTTACGTGTTATACAATTATAATAGTTAACTAAAAGAATTAAAATAATAATAAAAAATTATTTTTTATGAATATATGGATGGAATAAAGAGAATTAAATATTGACAGAGGTCGGGTCGAAATTTAAGAGGAGGTGTAATAAAAAAGATTTTTTTTTTTTTTTTTTAAATCAAAAAAATTTCGTATTAGCCACTTCAAAAGTTGACCCGATTTACTACAAAAAAAAAAAATAATTCAACATCTAAAAAATAAAACAAAATTCTTGTACGTAGTTTTATTTTCTTTTCTTTAATAAAAAACGTATATTGTTTTTATTAAAAAATTGTGAAACCAAAATTTTGAAACCATATAAATCCATTTACTGATAAGAACAACTCCCCAATTTGCACAAACATTTGGCTGACAAGTCACAAGTAATACGAAACCTAGAAGAATTATGCTGTGATCTAAACGTGCTCCTCATGTAATAATTTTTTTTTTTTTATGAATTCGCTTCTTTTGTCAGATAAATTTCATACTAATTGTTTAATATCGAGAATTTTTGTTGGGATTTTCTTTGTTGAATTTATCAATTCCACTTATCGTTATTATAAAACTATTCTATATCAAAATCAAATAAAAATTTTTCCAACTTTAATCTTTAAAATAAGAACTCAATAAAAGACAGCACATAAATTACGTTTGCGGGATACGAGAATGATATCTAATATGTATTATATTTGTTACACTGATGCAGCAGATACTATCAATACAATTTCATTTCCTGATTTGTTATAGTATGTTCAGCTATATACAAATTTACAATGAGATTCATTAACAGTTTTCAATAACGTAAATAGATTACGTGTCACATTTTCAAAAAAAGTACGGTTTACTTATTGTCATGTGGATAGTCATTTTGGATTGGCATATTTTTGTTTTATTTTAATTAACGCTTTAATATATTTTTTAAAAACAAGTAACAATAAACGGCTTCTTGACGAGAAATAATTGAATATGTTTTGAGAAAAAATGGACATAACATACTGTATATTTCGAAGCACATAACATCAAATATATTAGATATATAGCTTAAAACTTAATACTATTTTTCTCGGATTTTTATTCCATTAATTTTATATTACCTGAACTAAAATAATTCATGAATAATAAATAAATTTATATATATTTGTTTATAGAACATACTACAATATCTGCTTAATTCATAAAAGGTAATCCACCTTACAAAAAAATTGCGCATTTTTATTATTTGTGTTACCTTTGAAAATATTATAATGAATAGTCAACAACTTTTGTCATGTGAGATACGCAAGGAGCGGCCTAAAAAAAGAATTTGTTAAAACAGCTGTTGAAACAATGATTTTCACGTTCATATTGTAAAATGTAAAACCTATGCCTTCGTGCATAAAAATAATTTGTTAAACCATAGCGTTGCATTCATATTCAGTTGCTATGAATTTCTCGTACAATGATCATTATGATCATATATTTATAAATATATTTTCATTCAAACATTTTTTGACATTTGAAAAATGTCTTCCCAAAACAAAGTTATTGAATATTTAAAATTTCAAAATATTTTAAAAACAGATTACCAGTGGAAATGAAAAAAATTGATGAATTCATACAGGAAAGGAAATTAGCTATTAGTTTCCTTGATGTTACAGCATTTGAATGAATAACCATACAATCAGTTCAACAAAATCAAAGAAACAGGCAAAAATTGTTCTACAACAGTATGTTCAACAATATGGAGGGATGGCCCATTATTTTATAATGCGCGGTATGAAAATTATACTAGAGATTCAAATACTAAAATGTTTGCATAACTTGCAAAATTCTGTTGATTCTATAACATATGAAAATTGTAAATAATGTTTATTGGTATTATTTTTTTTTTTTATAAACAGAATCCTAATTATTACATAATGACAAATAAAACATAAAAAAGAAAAAGGAATTTTGGTATTTAAATCTTTTAATACAATAATGCAAGACTTCAAAATATTAAAATATTCATGTGAACTGAGTTTAAGAACAAAACCTACTAGGATACGAAACAATAATATTTAATATTTTAGATTTGTATTTCATCTTATAAAGCTTTGTCAATAATTGGAATATAAAAGTATTAGTATAAACTACAAGTATACATACTGTATGCATTAGTCAATAAAAAATAAATCAAATTGAAATGACATTTTCTAATAAAAGTTTATTTTATAGCTTTTATCAAAGGCTTTTAGAACAATATTGTAAGGATTACTATTATCAAATAGTAATATTTTCTAGTTATTTAATGCAGTAAGAATTTTAATACATTACCAAAAAAGAAAATGTACATACTGAGGTCAGTACTAGCAATAAAAATTCGTAAGAGTAAGAAGTGACTCTTGCTAAAAAATGTCCCATAAAGGCCATAATCAATGTTTCAAAAAGAATACTATATCACTTACCACAAAAAAAAAGCAATTTCAATCATTAAAAGATAAAAAAAGAATTTTCAATAAAATTTATTACCAACTTGGCATTTGATTCTCCATCTTTAGCTATTTTGACATCAATAATATGAACTTTCATACATTATTTCCAGAGCTAAATCAAAAAAAAATTGCCATTATAAATACTAACAAATATTAGGATTCAACGTACTTACAATGTTCCATCATCCAACAATCAAAGATTTTTTCATTTCCATTTTCATTTCCTTTCCCTTTATCAACTTCTTGATAATTCTAATTTTCCAAATTCTAACATATTCACTCGCTAATACTAGTTCTTATTTAATGTTATTTGATGATAAGTTATAAAGATCTAATCCAATTTTTATGTCCTCATAATGATAATTCTTCTAATTGATAGAAAAATTTGAAACAGTCTTACTTGGTTTCAGTATTCGAAAATTATAACCAATCACATGATTTTAATTAAAATCCAGTCGTTCAATATAATGAACCACTTTTTTGTATAAACAATAACCTTTTTTTCGTACAGTGCCCAGAAAAAAGTCAGTAAGCAATTAAAAAATTAGCAATTAATTGACAAAGTTTACTATTAAGTAAACTTTTTTTTATACTAATAAAATTACTCTTTATGAAATAAGTAAAGCTGTGTATTATAATGAATTATATATATCCTGAAAATTTCGTATTAATTTGATCTATATTGAGTTATTTATTACAATTTTAGTCCATATATTTCAGTGTTTTTAACAAAATTTTTGGTTATAATTAATCATTAAATTTTTTGGTCTTGAAGTATTCTAATCGAATAAGAAAACTTGTTGGTTATGTTAAAAAACATGGTTCTTTAAAATTTAAGATTAATCGGATTCATACTTGCTAAGGTTTGCTTGACTTAATTACAAAATTTTACAATCGATCATGTAATTAGTTACTGATTATCTTTGTTATTTTATAAAACTTGCACTTAAAATCTATAAATTTTTTCAATAAGAAGTTTGAAATGTACGGGGGAAAATTGAGACATAAATTTACTTAATAAATGATCGACAAACAAGCTATAAATAAACAGAAATGATCTTCAATCACGTGATTCATCACGAAATTTTGCATTTAAACAAAGCGAACTTAACGAATATAAATCCAGTCAACCTGAAATTTTAAGGACCCATGTTTTTTAACATGGCCAACAAATTTTCTTAATTAATCACAACATATTAAGACTAAAAAATTTAATAGTTATCTATAATTGAAAATTTATTATAAAAATACAAAATTTTCAAATAAAAATTGTACTATATAATTCATTTTGAATTTAATTAGCTTGAAAATTTTAGGATAAATGTAATTCATTATGTCGCACAATTTTACTTAATCTATGAAAAGCGATTTATTTATTATGAAAAAAAGTTTACTTAGTGGTGAACTTCACTAACTAATTGCTAATTTTTTACGTGGTTACTGACTTTTTTCCGGGCACTGTACTTCCGCAAGCTAATATGAAACTACAAAGAAGTGGTGCGACCACTGAATGCATATTATGTAAAAACCATCTAGCGGAGCCAAAATTGTCACATGCATTCTACGGATCGGCGGATATTTTGTTTCAAGATTAGTCGTTTGAATACATTCAACTGAATCTAAAAATGGCAAAAAAAAAATTAAAAAAAACTTCATTCATATTAAAACCAAACTAAAAGCACGATACCCCTCGTATCATCTTATTTATATCTTTTCCAAATCTTGATAATACCATCAGAAGATCATGTAGCAAGTAAATCTTTTTCAACGATAATATTTCTTGATCTAATAACTCCTAACGTTTTAACTGATCCACTATGTGATTCAAATATTGCAGAATTAACCTACTGACAAAAAGTCTTTTTTTTTTTACAAAAAAAATCAAATTCGGAAAAAATAATCAGTGTAATATATGAATTATTTTGTCGGATTTATGTTATTAGCTATAGCAATATTAGTTTGATTTATTTCATCTTTTTTTTTTAATATCGTCAATTTATCAGTATATTTACTCAAAATATAAAGACGTAAAGATATTTATTATTTTATTTATAAATTCTACATAATTAATCTTATCTTTATGCCCTAATAATGTTGCAATAATATAAATTGAATAAGAGATTGTATTTATGATGATAACTCATTATTTAAAGATTTATAGGAACCGGAAATGCAAAGAATACAAGTTGTTTTTCAATTAAAAAAATGAAGAAATCCCACTGATTTAATAAATATAATTAGTTTTTTCATTGGATAGAGGAATAATATTTGTGCTACAATATATAATGTTAAGATTTACGCATTTTTAATGATTAACCATATACATCATGATTTTTGCTTGCATTTTATTCTATTTTTTATTCTAATTACCAATCAAAATGTCAAATTCTTTTATATTCTTGATTATTCCTTAATATTTTCTTCAAAAAATCATCGAATCATCAAAGTTAATACTAACTTTTTTAAAAAAAATCATCAAAAATAAATTTGAACATAGTTTTTTTTTTTCCTTTCATTTATGATCAAAACGTAGTGATTTTATTATGAATGAGATGAAATAATAGATTTTTTATACATGAAACTGCTGCGTTACGAATTTTGGATTTTTCTTTTTGTAGTAACCAAAATTGTAAAACTCAACCAATTGTGAAACCAAATTTTTTTACTAATATGGTTACAATATACACAAATCAAGCAGATCATATGACAATTACGCTCTATTTTTTTTTTTATATTTACGCTCATTTATCATTTTCATAAAGATTTTAATAAGTTAGTATGCACAAGATAAATAAGCCAATATAATAAGAATTCGAATATATTGTTTTAAATAATGTTCAGGACCCATATTGGATAAATTTCATAAAATCATAAAATCATCATATGTAATTTTTTTGTGCTACATGTAGTGCCTCGACCCGTATCCGGATCAATCCGGATTGATCCGGATTTTTTTTTTTTT